AGATTTAGGTATTTTGTTGTGTCATATAGCTGTATAAAACACATACCCAACCATAAATATACATTAACCCTGATAGAACTACTGTGACAGTCTGAAAAATGCAGACACAACACAACCAACAAATATAGTTCTTCCAGCCTTTCTTCATAACTAAAATATACCAGTCCCATTGTTAATTTTGTAGCGTGCCTTGTTTCCACTTTTTACACTTCAATAATATCTTTAGAACTGGTCCCGAATATTGTACCATATATTCAAGTTCTTACCATTGATTTTTAAAGAGGCAACATATAGCTTATTAATGTGAATTAACAGCCCTTTAATCCCTTAAGGACACATGACATGTGGGACATGTCATGATTCCCTTTTATTCCAGGTCCTTAAGGGGTTAAAAACTCGCAGCACCCTAATAGCCTATGCAACATTATTGCATAGTCTTTAAAATGTAACTGTTCCTAAGTCCTTCTTATTTAATATCATTAACACAATCCCATTAAAGGTATGTATTGCTTGTGGATTCCTTATGCCAAAATGCATAACTTTGCCTTAACCTATGTTAACATGTAACATGTTAACACGTAACATGTTACAGATAAATCATCACTTACATAGAATATTGAATAATAATGTATTTTACTTTGGTTGGATGTAGAAATTTCAATGATTGAATATGTACCTTTTCGGGAAGTTTTAATAGTGGATTTTAATCAAGCACTTTACAAGAAGAGACATTGCCATGGAAACATCCAATTCTAATGAAATTGTAAACAGAAGAAGAAGTTTCAGAAGAAAATAGAAGCTGGATCACGGCAATGTTAATTAATACTTTAGAATGGATTATATTTTTCATGAAAATCACTTAATCTTGTAAGGGGGAAATCCAGCATAAATAAACCCTTTTCATCCGTAGTTTAGATAATAAAGCAGAATAAATTCTACTGCCAAATACTATGCTGCTAGAAATTTGACTTTTGTGTAATTCATTTTTTGTAAATGAATCTTAAATATTTTGAAAGCATGTCATAATTAGGAGTATTAAATACAATTATAGCATATAGACTTACAGCAGGCTGTTGTGGTTATGGTGTTTGGAGCATTTTTTACATAAAAAAAAAATCAGCTTATTACTAGAATACAGAAAAATAGATATAGTTTCTGGATTTAACTTTGATTTGTGATTCTAAAATTACATTTTGTGTTACCAAGTCATAGAGAAAGCATCAGCTGTAGAGTTGAGCGAACCCGAACTGAAAAGTTCAGGTTCGTACCGAACATTAGGTTTTTTGGACCCCAGACCCGATCACGGACATATCACTGTATGTTCGGGTTGGTGTTCGGTGTTCGGCGATTTAATGGCACGTTTTGAAAGGCTGCAGGGCAGCCAATCAACAAGCGTTTGACTCATGTGATTGGCCAGTGCAACATGTGACCCAGCCTCTATATATAAGCTGGAGTCGCGTAGCGCCGCACGCACATGCGGTCTTATTAGTGTAGGGAGAGGATGCTGCCGCTGATAGGGATAGCTTAGGAAAGAATTCTGCAACCTAGTACATTGGTGGGGTGGGGTGCACTTCATATTTGAGATTGGATGCCAATCTCTTGAGGATTTTGGAAATAGAATCTTCAAATATCGCAGTTACATCAGAGTTTTAAAAAGTACATAGTACTTTAGCTGGGTGCACTTCATATCTGAGAGTCAAATAGAATCGTCAAATACTGCTGCCAAATTCCAGTTTGAAAACTTAACATTTTTTGGGTGATAAAAAGTACATTAGTAGGGTGCACTTCATATCTGAGAGTCAAATAGAAGCATCTAATAGTGCGCTTACTGCGCAGTGGTAAACATTCTAATTGTTTTGCTGCTAAACTGCTAAATAGTACATTTTGGGGCCTGTTCTTCATATGTGAGAGTCAAATAGAAGCGTCTAATAGTGTGCATACTGCGCACTTGTAAACATTCTAATTGTTTTGCTGCTAATCTGCTAAATAGTATATTTTGGGACCTGCAGTGCACTTCATATCTGAGAGGCAAATAGAAGCGTCAAATAGTGCGCTTACTGCGCAGTGGTAAACATTCTAATTGTTTTGCTGCTAATCTGCTAAATAGTACATTTTGGGGCATGTTCTTCATATGTGAGAGTCAAATCGAAGTGTCTAATAGTGTGCTTACTGCGCACTTGTAAACATTCTAATTGTTTAGCTGCTAATCTGCTAAATAGTACATTTTGGGGTATGTTCTTCATATGTGAGAGTCAAATCGAAGTGTCTAATAGTGTGCTTACTGCGCACTTGTAAACATTCTAATTGTTTTGCTGCTAATCTGCTAAATAGTACATTTTGGGGCATGTTCTTCATATGTCAGAGTCAAAGGATGATGAGGTCCCAGACCCCACATGGAATCAAGGTCCCAGACCCCACATGGTGGAGGATGATGAGGTCCCAGACCCCACATGGAATCAAGGTCATGCGAGTGACGTGTGCAGTTTGGAGGAAGAGGCGCTGGTCGCACAGAGGCACCAGCACAGCATGAGAGGGAGCAGGGTGCAAAAGCAGAGCGGCCATCCCCTAGTGCTCGTTGGCATGTATTAGCTTGAGAATTACCAAGTAATACATGTAGCGATCAAAAGATCCATAATAGACTTGAGCAAACCCGAACTGCAAAGATCAGGTTCGTACCAGATTTAACGATCCATTCGTAGTTTCACAGTGAGGTGGGTAGTCCGGTGACCAGGACGACCGGGACCCAGTATGCCTGATGTAGAAGTTAGGAGTCACAGTGTGGAATTGATTAGCAGGGTCTGGTGCAAGGTAACCGCACGCCCCAGGTGTTGAGCACCAGCGTTTGTGTAGCCACATACCAGAACCCTGATGCAGAAGCCATCACCAAACTGATCCGCAACTTGGAACAGAATGTGACATTCACTGTAGCGGGCTTTTGGCGTTGTCACCCTGCTTCTGCTCGCCTGTGTGCTCTGTAGCGTAACTTCGGCCTTCCTGCTCACCACCTCATGAGACTTAGCGAGCAGCGGCAGGCGATAGTGGAGTTTCAGCTACAGCACGCACGGGTCAGTGGCTCTGCACCAGACTTCCCTTCAATTGATCAGAGTTACAGGATTTCAAGTGGACTCATTACAATTGCAGGGCCTCTAAAGAGTCCTGTATTGTTATTTGCCATCACTACCTTCCCGCGTCGGGAGTGGGTCATTTGCGCGCCTGCTGTCTTCCTTGCATGTGGTAGCCGTTTCTCAGGGTCCCTGTGTCAGGTTACCTTTGGTGTCTACCTCGGAGGAGGTTAGACACCTAGACGTCCATCCTCCCAGGGGGGCTGACTCACCCGATCCTTGCACTCCTCCCGGTCGTTTACACGCCGGCCGCGATAGCTCCGCCTCCTTTTATGACGCGGCGCTCAGTAGCCGACGTCATGACGGCAATCACGTTCCGACCCGTCAATCACGGCAACCAAGTGCCGAACAACGAATCAGGACTCGTTGGGGGCGGAGCCAACAGTTAAAGAGCCAAGGTATAAAAAAGGGTTCTGTGGAATGATTCATTGCCCTGTCGTGGTTCTAGCTAGTCTGGTCACTCAGTGCAATTACCTCTATTGTCTTTTGGTTCCTGACTCGGCTTGTATTTTTGACCCTGCTTTACTCTCTTGTCCTTTTGACTCGGCTTGTCTCTCGCTTACCTAATCTCTCGTTCCCTCGACCTCGGCTTGTCTCTGACCATTCTTTTGCTTTCTCCTTACGTTAGTCCGGCCATTCTAAGGTCCGGTATACGTACCTATCTCCTGTTTGTATTCTGCGTGTTGGATCCCTGTCACGATCCTGACATTATGACAGGGCCAATGGATCCTGCAGGTACAAACTCTCAGGTCGGTTCTCCTGACTCTAGATTTGAGGCCATGGATCATAGAATGGACCAGATGGCTCTAGCTCTGCAAGCATTGCTATCTCGTCCTAGTAATCACTCAGAGGAGATGCGTAACCCATCTATCTCTCCTATAAGTACAGGCCTAGAGGTAGCCACAGTGGCTACTTCTTCCCGTGTTACGTCCCCGTCACGCTATGGCGGCGCTCCTGACACTTGTCGAGGTTTTTTAAACCAGATAGGTATTCATTTTGAGTTACAACCCCACGCCTACCCTACTGACAGGGCGAAGGTTGGATTTATAATTACCTTACTCATTGACAAGGCACTTAGATGGGCTAACCCCCTGTGGGAGAATGATAACCCGTTAGTTTATAATTATAATGCTTTTGTCGCTGCATTTAGGAGAGCTTTTGACCCCCCAGGAAGAAAGGCCAATGCAGCTAGACTACTGTTACGTCTTAGACAGTATAACCGAACCCTAGTGGATTATGCTTTAGAGTTCAGATCCTTGGCAGCAGAAGTCAAGTGGAATGAACAGGCTTATATGGACGTATTTATGAACGGGTTATCTGATGAGATTTTAGATGAGGTGGCCACAAGAGATCTTCCTGAAAATTTGGAGGATTTGATTTCATTTATTTCCCTAATAGATGAACGTATGAGACAGAGGCAGAATATTCGGGATAGAACCCGCAGATCCTCCATAAGACTAGCTCCCTCATTTCAGACTTCTGATTCTACTACTTTAGCTCTCCCAGAACCTATGCAAATAGGTAATACTCGACTCTCAGAAGAGGAAAGACAGTACAGGAGAAGGGAGGGGCTTTGTATGTATTGCGGAATTAGAGGTCACCTACGCCTAAATTGCCCTAACCGGCCGGGAAACGCTCGCACCTAAGTTTGTCAAGAGGACAGGCCTTGGGTGTTTCTATCTTGTCCTCTATATATGATTATAAAGATCATAGGCTTCTGATACCTGTTTCTTTAGCTTGGGAAAAGGGAGTACTTAATGCTATGGCTTTGATAGATTCCGGAGCAGCTGAAAACTTTATTGACCAAGCCTTTGTCACTAACCATTCTATCCCATCTCAGCTAAGGGATACACCCTTGGCCGTTGAGGCCATAGATGGTAGACCATTATCTGAACCTGTTATTCTTCGTGAAACCATACCAATTAAGTTAACCACTGGTATCCTTCACGAGGAAAGAATATCTCTCATGCTGATCTCATCTCCTTCAGTTCCTATAGTCTTGGGGTATCCCTGGCTTAAGAAGCATAACCCTATCATTGACTGGGAATTGGGTGAGATAGTCTCCTGGGGTCAGGGTTGCCAGAGAGGATGTTTGCAGAAAGTCTCACCGATTTGCAGGGTTGACGCCCCGGTTAACTCTTCCCAACCTACAGATTTACAGATACCGTCGCAGTACCTGGATTTAAAGGCAGTCTTTGACAAAAAGAGGGCTGATACTTTACCTCCACATAGGTCTTTCGACTGTAAAATTAGACTCCTACCTGGTACTATGCCTCCGAGGGGTACGGTATATCCTTTGTCCACTAAGGAAAACTTAGTCCTAGAGGAGTACATACGTGAAAACCTAGACAAAGGATTTATTAGGAGATCATCTTCTCCGGCCGGGGCCAGTTTCTTTTTTGTAGATAAAAAAGACGGCACTCTACGGCCTTGCATTGATTATCGGGGCTTGAATAAGATAACTGTTAGAAATGCTTATCCTATTCCTTTAATTACTGAGCTCTTTGATCGACTAAAAGGCTCCAAGATTTTTACCAAGTTAGATTTGAGGGGAGCTTATAACTTGGTGAGAATTCAGCAGGGAGACGAATGGAAAACAGCTTTCAATACCCGTTATGGCCACTATGAATACACGGTAATGCCCTTCGGGCTCTGCAATGCACCTGCAGTATTCCAGGACCTTATTAATGAGGTTCTTAGGGAATTTCAGCATGAATGCGTTATAGTATATTTGGATGATATACTAATACACTCTAGAGAGATTGAGACTCACCACAGACAAGTCAGAAGGGTACTGCGAAAACTGTTACAACATGGATTGTACTGCAAATTGGAAAAGTGTAGCTTCGACCAATCTCAGATAAACTTTCTTGGCTACGTTATTTCTGGAGACGGATTTAGGATGGACCCCATTAAACTCCAATCGATTTTAGATTGGCCGTTGCCCAGGGGACTCAAGGCCATTCAGAGATTTATCGGATTCTCCAATTATTATAGGCGCTTCATTAAAGGTTACTCTTCTATTATTGCTCCTATTACCAATATGACTAGACAGGGTGCTGATACCAAGACTTGGTCTACAGAGGCTCTCTCTGCCTTCAAAACACTCAAAGAACATTTTGCCTCAGCACCGATATTAGTTCATCCTGACACATCTTTGCCTTTTCTACTCGAGGTTGACGCCTCGGAGACAGGTATAGGCGCTATCTTGTCCCAAAGGCTAGGTTTGGATAAACCGTTACATCCATGTGGGGTTTTTTCCAAGAAATTATCTGGGCCTGAAAGTAGATATGACATTGGTGATAGGGAACTGTTAGCGGTCATTATGGCTTTAAAGGAATGGAGACATTTGTTGGAAGGGACATTATACCCGGTTACTATTTTGACGGATCACAAGAATTTGTCCTATATAGGGGAGGCCAAGCGCTTGTCCGCCAGGCAAGCTCGTTGGTCCTTGTTTCTGACACATTTCAATTACGTGCTCACTTATAGACCTGGTTCTAAGAATTCTAAGGCAGATGCATTGTCCCGCCAACATGAACCTTCTACGGTGTCTGAAGCAGCTTTGTCTTCTATCGTTCCCAAGTGTAATATTATTGCCAACACGTGTGTCAGGATACACTCGCCGTTGCTTGCTGAGATCAAGAAAGTACAACATCTAGCTCCCAAACCTGTTCCTTGGGATCGATACTTCGTTCCTCCTGAGCTCCAAGTGGAACTGCTGCATTGCTTTCATGACAGTAAAATTGCTGGGCACCCCGGCACACGCAAAACGTGTTCCTTGATTTCTAAAGATTTCTGGTGGCCTTCCCTTCGTAAGGATATAAGGGATTTCGTCAGGGCATGTGCTGTCTGTATGAAGACTAAGCAACCTCACGCGCTCCCTTGTGGACTTTTGCACCCCTTAGAAATTCCCGAGAGACCATGGTCGTGTTTGGCTATGGACTTCATTGTCGATTTGCCTATTTCTAAAAAACATACTGTTATTCTCACGGTGATTGACAGGTTTACTAAAATGGCTCATTTCGTGCCCTTGCCTAAACTGCCCTCGTCTCCCGAATTAGCTGAGATTTTCGCGAGGGAGATTTTTCGTTTACATGGTATTCCCTCTGAAATTGTTTCTGATAGAGGTTCCCAATTTGTTTCCCGCTTTTGGAAGTCTTTCTGTTCCCACTTAGGCATCAAGTTGAATTTCTCATCTGCCTATCATCCCCAGTCCAACGGAGCTGCCGAACGTACCAACCAAAAGATTGAACAATATTTGCGTTGTTTTGTTTCTGAACACCAGGACGATTGGGTTGGTCTGATTCCTTGGGCAGAGTTTGCACACAACAATCTCGTTTGTGATTCTACTCGTTCTAGCCCCTTTTTCTTGAATTATGGCTTTCATCCTTCCATTCTTCCGTCGGTTTCCCCTTCCCAAGGGGTTCCGCCGGTTGATGTTCATGTCGCCAATCTGAGAAAGTTGTGGGATCAGACTCGACGAATTCTTCTTCAGAATTCCATGGTGTTCAAACGACACGCTGACAAACGGAGACGGGTGGCTCCGGTTTTTGCCCCGGGTGCTAGGGTGTGGTTGAGTACCAGAAACATCCGCTTGAAGGTTCCTTCCATGAAATTTGCCCCTCGTTACATAGGCCCTTACAAGGTTCTGTGTCGGATTAACCTGGTTGCATATCGTCTTGCCCTTCCGCCTGCCCTGCGCATCCCTAACTCTTTTCATGTTTCTTTGTTGAAGCCTTTGGTTTGCAACAGATTTTCCTCCGCTGAGTCCTCCCCTCTCTCTGTCCAGGTTGAGGGTCAGGAGGAATATGAAATCAA